AGATTAATAACAGGTGAGCGATGCAGGCCCATTGGGCCTCTTGTTATTCATTGTGCTTGTTGTTACTTGTAGTATATAGACAAATTCTCTGATGCCAAGGACTGTTCTAGACAAATTCTGAACAATTTATAGGTATATTTCCTCTGGAGAGAAAAAAAATCAGAATGGCTTAAAATTTCCTTCTAATACGAAAACTTCGTTCTATGTGATAAAAATCCAATGTTCCCCTAAATTGCAATAATTGGTAAATCCTCCTAAACAAAGATTGGTCCATGTCAAGGAGAAAAATCTAGGTTAAACATGGATCATAATTTCTAAAATATTTCGGGGTGTTTTTTTGAAGAGCAATTGTAATGATTTCTTTCATGATTCATTATTTTAGGTTTTGAAGCCTTTGACCTAGCAAGCTACTGGGGAACAAGAACCATGCAGAAAATAACAGGCTCCAGCTGAAGTAACCAGACAATTGATCATTGCCAGATGTCTTTCAAGCTGTCCCACAGTGATACTCTTACAGGGTCAGCTACCACCCCTTGTGCCTTGATGGACTTACCCTACTCCGCATAGAAGTATATCTATAGATAAGTCACAGGGGGAGGTCTCACTGTGGTATCAAAGGAATGAGAGGTGATTGTATGATGAAGAATGAATTTCCTGTATGCTACTTTAATTTTTATTTACTGATAGATTTGTACCTACAGTAATATATGCTGTAGCTTTGGCAGCCAAATCTGCACTGAGCATGTACTGTCGGATTGGTAAAGGAAGTTACGATTTCATTTAACATTTTTAGCTCACCTGGCACGAAGTGCCAAGTGAGCTTATGCCGTGGCGCGGTTTCCGTCGTCCGTCCGTCCGGTGTCCGGCGTCAATATTTTACTTTAAACGACTTCTTCTTAATAACCGAAAGGCCTAGGGTGTCAATATTTGGCCAGAAGCAAACTTGGATGAAGGGCTACAAAGTTTGTTCAAATAAATGACCTTCACCTATTTTCAAGGTCACAGGGGTCAAATATGTCAAAAACTTTAAACATCTTCTTCTCAATAACCAAAATGCCCAGGGAGATGATATTTGGCCAGTAGCATGCTTGGGTGAAGGGCTACCAAGTTTGTTCAAATGAATGACCTTCAATTATATTCAAGGTCACAGGGGTCAATTGTATTAAAAAACCTTTAAACAACTTCTTCTGAATAACCAAAATGCTCAGGGTGATGATATTTAGCCAGTAGCATGCTGAGATGAAGTGCTACAAAGTTTGTTCAAATGAATGACCTTCACCCATATTCAAGGTCACAGGGGTCAAATATGT